TGGTTCTGTATGGGTGTGAAACTTGTTCTCTGACATTAAGGGAGGAACATAGACTGAGGGTGTTTGAGAACAGGGTGTTGAGGAGAATATTTGGACCGAAAATGGATGAAATGAAAGGAGGTTGGAGAAAACTGCATGATGAGGAGCTTCATAACTTGTACTCTTTGCCAAGTATAATTAGAATAATCAAGTCAAGGAGGATGAGGTGGGCAGGACATGTAGCACGAATGGGAAAGAAGAGGAATGCATATAGGATATTGGTGGGAAAGCCAGAAGGAAAGAGACCACTGGGAAGACCAAAGCATAGGTGGGTGAACAATATTAAAATGGATCTTAGAGAGACAGAATGGGATGGTGTGGAATGGATTGATCTGGCTCATGATAGGGACCAGTGAAGGGCTCTTGTGAACGCGGTAGTGAACCTTCAGGTTCCATAAAATGGTGGGAAATTCTTGAGTAGATGCAGATTTGGCTTCTCCTCAAGAAGGGCTCAGTTCCATAAGTAAGTAAGTAAGTAAGTAAGTAAGTATGTAAGTTACACTATTTTACTGCTTGATGTATTTACACAAACACAGTCTTCAGTCCAGCTCTTCATACGGTTCCTATTTCAGTGACTCTTATCACATGTTATGTAAGGACATGAAATTGGAATGGTTGAACTGGGAACCATGTGAAGATGACTGATGACTGTGTTTATGATCATATAACAAGTTCTTGTTAAATCTTTTATTCTCACAGTGTTTCTATTTTAATGTGGGTGTTCTAAAAACTAAACCTCTATTTGTCTGTCTTCTCCAAAAGAACCTCAATTACCTCCCATGTTTTCCTGTTAGCTAGGTGTCATCTTTCGTAATATGTTATTCTAGTGTTGGACTTGTTGTTCCATTTGGGTGTTTTCCCTTTATTTTCAGTTTCAAAATAATCTTTAGGATTTTGTATTTCTTCATTCTTAAATCATGCAATACCATGCTCAAATAACAATAACAGTAACAACAACAAGAACAAGAACAGCAATAACATCTGCTTTTATTCATGCCTATGTTCCTTTGCCATATGTTGCATATGTAGTAATTTCTAAATGCATCATTCTTGTCTGTCATTTCCCTTCTCAGACTAGCTCTCTAACTAGCTGGAATATTTTTCTTGTGTTTTTTATTCTTTCTTTATTTTTTCTGCTCTTTCATTCTTGCCCCTTTTACTTTTAAATATCAGAACTTTATTTGCTTCACAGTTATTAAATTTTCATTATTTTCATATGTACAATTCTGTAACTACTTTTCCAGGCATGTTTGAGTCCCAAATTTTCAACATCAGATTGAGAGAAAAGTATTGATTTTAACATCAATTTTTCAGTCTGGAACTCCTAGAATTTTGTTTTTGCTTTTTTAGCAGCATGATAACTACCCAGCCTGTCAGATCACAATGAGTGGAAAAACTAGTATGAGTCAACTTTTCAGCAAAATCCCTATCCCTCTTTGTGCTGATGGTAAAAAAAACCATAGCACTACACGTGATTCTTTTAAATAAAATGACGTATGAAAATTTTTGATTAAAAACAATCTGATGTGAACAGGATTAAACACTATATTATAGTAAATCTTAGAAAACTGTTTAGTATGATTATTGTGAAAAAGTGATCTAGCAGAGAAAATTCCCATTCTTGCCAATATTCTAAATATTTTTCCCAATTTTCATCTTGATCTCATTTGAAAATCTCTTTCTCTCACATCCATATTACACAAAAGCTTCCTGCTAAAAATAGTACAGGGTATATACATATATTCAGCGTACACCAGTTCTAAGAACAGAATGAGACCGAGACTAATTGCTTCCTGCCCTGCAACCACATTGTTACTCATGTTACAACTTTGAGCAAGATTGTTTGGGTGCTAATACGAATGTGTCCACTCTTCGCTTTCTTGGAGTGATCCAAAAGAGAAAGGTGAAAGGGCATTTCGGTTTTTTTAGAATCCAGGTGACATGCTGCACCATATTCCTCACTCGCATGACAGTATTTCATATATTTGGAAGTGTGGGGGCTAAACTTGGCATAACCAAGGAGTCTAAGCAAAATGAATCCTATTCAACTAGGACTGCAAGACATACTTAGCCAACCATCATTCTAGTAGACAGAAAAGATTTTTCTGAAATGCGGAAGTGAATCAAGCACAAGGCATTAGGCACATGTGTAGAAATATGTTGGTGTTATAGCCAATGGGCTTACTCTGAAACCCAACAGTATTATTAAAAAAAATTCATTGGTGTAAGATTTATGAGTTAGTTTTCAACACTCTGAAATAATTTAAAAGAGTATAAAAAATGAAAGGACAAAATAAGCAGAAATCTTAAATGTAGACATGCAGTCTTAATAATCTGCACATATATAATAAGGATTGTATGCTTTTTCAGATGTGTGGAATATAATCTAATCATTTGAGGGTCTTTTTTTCCATTGCAGGGTTCAATTGATAGTCAGCTGGATGCCATAAGTCTGCAAGGCATGAAACTAAATCAGGAACGTAAACCAAGTCTCACTCGTTCACAGACTGACTCCAACATAACATATGCTGGGGAGGAAATACCTGAAGCTCAGGGTTCTGTGTGTTACATCACCAAAGATGGAGATATCGATTATCAAGTTGTCCTTAAGGTATGTTTACAGAATCTGAGATATTGGGTGTCTTGTTTGCCACAGTCTATTGATATTTTCAAGTTGGAAATTTTTATTGACTCTTAGAATTCATATCCCTTGTTACTCTTCCACTGTTATGAATGGAACAGTTCTATCAAAGGTACAAAGTTCTGTAATATTTATACAGTGAACTGCTTGAGGTCTTAATGTTGACTTGCCTAGTCCACCACTGTTTCACTGTATGCCACTGCATTACCTTCTCCTCACAGTAGACTTGTATTTCACGGCAGGCATGAACACCATACCAGTTTCTAAGCTAATGATTGGGCTCAATTCAGCTGCATGCCTCACAATCTACACAACACTTTTATTCATGCATAGTCATTATGGAAACATTAGGATGGCAGTGCTGGCTGGGCAGTCCAAGAACAATTAAAAAACCAAAGATGGGGTGGTGGTGAAGGTGCGAAGCATCCAGAGAGACGTGCATATGCCCACCTCCAGAGATTAGGTTACGTGATATTATTATCATGTTTTGATGACTAGATATGGGATTTGGTTTGGTAAAGGTAAGGGTAAAATTGTCCCTGTGCTTAACTAAATAAGCACTATGCCATGAAGGCATATGGAGGAGTGGCTGCATAGGTCCACATTTTCTTGACCTCAGCACTAAGTGGAGGTGAGTGGTCAATTTCATGCCCCGGCCGCTTTACCCCCAGGGAAAGAGACCTCTGTACTTACTGGATAGAGGTTGGGTGGATCCCAGAGTCAGTCTCCACAACTTGGAGGAGGGAAAATTCTTGACCCTACTGGGACTTGAATTCCGATCCCTCGGTCATCCAGCACATAGCCAGTCGCTGTACCAACTACACTATCCAAACTCCTGGGGTTTGGATTGGTAATTGAATTTACTGAAACCTTATAGCTCGTAACTACAAATAATTATAACATTACTGCTGATCTACACATTTCGCAAGTCACTACTGTAATTACTAAGTCTCCTCTGTTTTAGTCTTCATTGATTGTTGCTTGGTTACCATCTTCACTATGCGTTGCTAGGTTATGGCTAATAACAACAGAGGTTCTTCATGGCCAACTGTGCACTTACAGTTCACGAACTGCACTCACCAATTGCCGACTGAAGACTGACTTACTTGGTTGCTGGATGTTAAATTGCTGCTGGCTCTTGCCAGCATAGTGATTTATGGTTCTGAGTCAAATTAGGGCTACTACTGGTCCTCACCAACACATACTTGGTTAGGAGACCCACAGAACAAGTGATCATATTTTACTCTCTGATGGCTGTGGGAGCCTTTAGACTTTCCAGTCTGTCTTGGAGTCTTCAGAGGCAAAGTTTCATTATGACAGTCATTCGGTCAGTGAGACTTGGTGTCAAGCCCCATCTGAGGCCCAAAACCGATATTTGTTACTCTCAGAGAGTTGCCACTTTTTGGACGTGAGGTGCCCTCTCTGATGAGAGGATGGGTGTCGTTTACTGTGGTAATAGTAGTACACATATTCCATACATAGAAATTTATATGTCAGCAATCTACATAGTCAGTCAATTGTTAAGAGTCAGATTCCTTGTGTATACCCACAACTTACAGTTTTACATATAACTGTAATACAGTATACACAAGGCCTCTGTCAGTCTAGGCTAAGCACAGCAGTTCATGCTCTAACTCGTGTAGCTCATGTTGCAATGGCTGACTAGTCACTTGAATGGTCATACACTTGACCACCTCCATCCTTAACCATCTATTATTTTATATGTTGGTCTTCGCGTTTTCTGATGCTGCGAACATTTGTATTTTCATGACTTTGTATGGCCTCTGCTATTTGCCTGCACAGTTTCATTATGTACTCATAAATATATGGTACTTAGAAAGCCATGTGCAACTCGCGGACCAGTGTGGACCTTTGAAATTTACCAGTGTTGCAGAGAAACTTGTTTTGCAAGTGCTGCAATTTAAAATATTTGGTATCTGCCGAAAATAAGTCATCACTGATCTAATTAGTATTTTATGGAGGGCTAGTTTAATATTAAGCGCTTGAAAGCTCACTTTTGAATTGGGAATAGACTGTAGTCAATGCTCTGAAGGCCTTGGCCTCGGTCATTTCTATATGCAAGATTACACCGAGGTCTTTTAACTGATTCACGAAGGGTATGTTACGTCCGTGAAATGTGAGGTGCCCCTCAGATTGTCTACTTCTATGAGAGAAGTAGACAGCCTGAGCTTTATCTTCAGTGATTTTAATGCTCCAGCACTTACACTACATCTCAGGTGGATTAAGACGGTGCTGCAGCTTTCTGAGGATGTAACCCTCTTTGCAATCCGTGGTAGACATCCAAGTATCATCGGCAAAGAGGACCAGGTAAACACCTGGTTATGGGGCGTGTCATTTAGAATAGGATGGAAACTTGGGGCATAGATATTTCTCCTTCAACAGAAACTGTGAATTTTCTCTTGGATAGAAAGGAGCTAATGAGCTTGATTGCTGGTCACGGTACCCGAGTGGTCTAAGGCATGTACTGTCTTCGCTTGCTTGGAAACCAGGATCGTGGGTTCGAATCCCACTCAGGGCATGGATGTTTAATTTGTGTGTGTGCATTTTTCTGTGTACAGGTAGAGTCCTTGTGATGAGCTGAATACCCACCCAAGGAGTCCTACCGTATGTGTAAGATCTAGAAAAACCGAATTGAACGGAGAAGTTCATGGAGTTAGGTCTAGGCCCACTGGGGCCGGGGGGAAGGGGAAGAGCTTGATTAAATCAGTCAAAAATTTAGTTTGTACAACTTATATAATAAACCAGGGTGCCATGTTTTATCAAAGGCTTTTTCGATATCAAAGAATACCTCAGCCATAGACATGTTCAGTTCACTGGCTAAGTTCCACCCCAGTGCCACACAGCCTTAGGCATGATGCCTCACACCTTGGGCTTAGTTGGTTTGGCCCTGTTGTGAATAGACACTAACAAGCCTTCAGGACCTATAGTGCATGTTCGGGGGGAGGGGAGAATCCCAGGTGATTAGTGAGAGTGTGTTGCTAGTTAGCCATGTGGTTGTGACTAAAGTAAACCACATGAAGGAATCGCCCCTAGGGTTAGTAGATCACCCCACATTCCCACCCCTCCACATGGATTGGTTAAACCGTTTTAAAGTGTTGAGCCTGAAGGCTTGCGGCACTTTATCAGTACTCCAGGGAGACAGCTCAAGTAGCTGGAGCTACCCCCATATGAGTGTTCTCCTGCATTCATCCTGGGCAAACCTTAGTAGTACTTGAGAGTCATAATGCTGCCATATGGGAGGCTCCAATTGTGAAATACACCATTGGCCTTTATGGGAGCTTAGTCACCAGCCCCAGCTAGTCATACTGTTGTATCCCAGTATTTCAGTGATACTCAGGTTTACCAAGCAGTGAGCAGTGTTCCAAGATTCTCCTTTCCCTATCCTTTTGCTTTTCTTCAGTTGCTCCTGTGGAATTCTGTACTGTTTTGATTTCGTTTAGTTCCAGTAACGGCTCCTGAATTTCTGCCTCCTCGTCATTTGTATTTAAAATGCTAGTTATCAAATAGCCATCTGTCACTTCGGTTAATGACCCTGCCATAAAAATTCATTCTTGAAGTTCGCATTTGTCTAGGATCCCCACTAATGGCTACCCTTCCTTCACTGGTAGCTTGACAACACATTTGGATCTCCGTGGTAGGATTATGTTCCTGGTTTCTTGCGTCCTTTCTGCCTTCGCGATTTCTGTTTTGTTAGCATTCACCATCTTGATCATCTACCCATTTAGCTTAACACATAACATATTTGTGCTTTTGCATTTTGAAAGAAATCCCTTCCTAATATCCCGTCACATGGAATATCTGTCTGCTTGTTTACTAACTGAAACTCGTGCGTTCTTGAATTATTCTCGAGGTTGATCTCAGCCTCTATTGCCCCGTGTGTTTCTGTCAGGGATCCACTTACGCTTTTCACCCTTACTTTTCTTTCTAGATCATATTCTGTTGAACCTGTCAATTTCTCTCCCTTGAGGACACTTAAGTCAGCTCCTGAGTATATGAGCAACAGTAACTCACCTGTCTTGCTAATGTTCACTCTTAGCTTGAGGAATTCACAATCATTCCTTCCTATGCAGACTACTGAGTAGACTGAACCATCGGTTGGCTGCCATTTCCCGATGGTTGTGATTCATTTCCTGAACTGTTAATCCTATATTTCCCTTCAGTAACTTTCAGTCTATCTGCCCTTTTCCTAGGTCTTGTACATTCCTGAGCTATGTGCCCCTTTTCCAAACAGTTATAACATATTATTTCCTGGCTGGGCCCTCGACTTCCATGCCTTGCAGAAATCTTATTGACCCTTATGTCCATCTTGCCCTTAAGAAAACACCCATTCGTTACGTGATTGTGCCTGCCACAATTACTGCATTTCAGATTATTCAAACTCATGTTTGAACCTTTGTACCTCTCAGTCTTTGAAATTATAGGATTGGTTGAAGTACTATGCTACAAGCCGGAAGGTCGCAGGGCAGAATCCCGATGAGGTGGATTTTTTCAATTGACCTAATACTTGCAGCTTCACTATGGCCCTGAAGTCGACCCAGCCTCTAACAGAAATGAGTACCAGGAATATACCTGGGGGTAAAGGGTGGCCAGCGCCTAAGACTGACAACCTTACCACCATCTGTGAGCCGATTGTCTAGAAAATGTGGGAGCCCCAACATCTCACAACCTCCACAGCCTGTTAAGGGGATACCTTTACTTTCTTACTTTTAGGAGTTTCCTCTTCTAAGGCTGTTTTGGTTATTTTGTCAAAATTGTTGTGATTTTGACTCCTTACAATTGCTTATATTCTGTCTGAGTACAGACCCTGCACGGAGCAAATATTTCTTAACCTTTCTAACAGAGTTCAGAATCCGGGCCTCTCCTCTTGTTTGCAGTATTGCAAAGCAGCTTCTCTAAATTTGGATCCCAGCTTCGGAATATGCTGGATCCAGTCAGACACACTCTCCCCCTTAGTTGCTCCCAGTTTTGCAAAGCAGCTTCTCTAAATTTGGATCCCAGTTTCTGAATATGCTAGATCCAGTCAGACACACTCTCCCCCTTTGTTGCTCGCAGTCTTGCAAAGCAGCTTTTCTAAATTTGGATCCCGGTTTCTGAATACGATGGATCCAATCAGACACACTCTCCCCCTTTGTTGCTAGCAGTCTTGCAAAGCAGCTTTTCTAAATTTGGATCCCAGTTTCAGAGTATGCTGGATCCAGTCAGACGCACTCTCCCCCTTAGTTGCCCGCAGTCTTGCAAAGCAGCTTCTCTAAATTTGTATCCCAGTTATTGAATATGCTGGATCCAGTCAGACACACTCCCCCCCTTAGTTTGCTTGATACAGAACAACTGATTAGCGTGGTAATCCAGCGCTTGTTTCTCAGTATATGTGTTCTTTAGGAATTCTCTGAATTCTCCCCATTATTCAAAGTTCTTATGAGCAATCGCAGTTCTTGTCTCTCTGCTAATCCTTGTTAAAAGAAACTTATACAAAGTGGTTGAGTTCCTGGGGTCAGTAACTTCAAATGCTGTGTCTACATTCACTATAAAAGCAAGAACTTCCCTTCTTTCACCCTTGAAAGGAGTTACAAGCTTTAAAGCTTCACTGATTCCGACGTATTCTGCCATAATGGCAGTACTGCTGTCTGTGTTTACAGCCTCAGTATCTACATTTGGATACAGGTTAGGCATGGATTGAGCAAGCACTCGCCCTTTCTGAAGTTCTCTGTACGCCTGCCGTGTAGATCGCTTGCAGCATGTTGGAGCCTGCCGTGTAGTCTAACCACAGTGCTATGGACTAGGCCACACTACGGTACTCCCGTTGCCACTTCTCCAATCTGGATTGACCCTCGTTCCCGAACTGCCTGCTGCTACAGCATCCGTGGGGCATAGAATCCTGACTGGAAGTTCTACACTTCCCGCTGGCGGTTTCCCAATTGGGATTCCTTCAGCTTTTCGCACTCTTTTTCTTAGCACTGTTACAAATCTGTTTTCCAATACTTCACACACACACACACACACACACATACACACACGCACATGTGCGCATGTGTGCACACTCTCCCCTCCCCCGTGCTATTCATAGAACAGACAACAACAGGCAATTGGATTTAGCAGTGCTATACTGTAAGAATAATGAATGCTTGATGAAATAGAATTAGGCGGGCACTTTAAATATTCCCTACAAGGGGTGAGGCCACAGTCCTGCTTGTCTAACCCTTGTGACAACTCGAACCAGTTTCTCTCTCGCCCTCACCTCCAAGCTCCGTTCTACCCTTGTACCCCAGTCAGTCTGGGTTCTGACCACCTCACATACATGTATGTGGGAAGGGAGGAGACCACACACACATTTGTTTAGTCTACGCGTTGGTTGTGAGCCAGTCCACAGCTTGGAGAGAATATTTAAGATGCCCAAGGAATAAAGAATACAGCACACAATTATAAAAGTACTCTTACTTTCATGTATGCAACACATTTATACAACTACTCTCACTTCCACATATGCAATAATACTGATCTAGACCCCGAGACTAATGTTGCCTGGCATGGCCATGAGGAGGTGTCCCAAAGCTGTGATCCAACACATCCCTGGCCCATGATGCACCCCCAACAGAGACACAGCCGTTGTTCAACCAACCTCACATGAAGATGGCATCATTATTACCTGTAATATATGACCTTAATGGTCAGAGTTACCCTGACTGGGGAGAATGTAAAACAGTGGAGATTATTTTACTCCAGGTAGGATTTCATGACTGAATAGTCTGCTGTTTCTTTTTTATGATACAGGTTCAATTTTGTCTATTTCAGAACCCGTACTCCATTTTGGTATGATATTTTAAGTCACTCTGGAGTAGAATGAGTTTTGTGTTATAAGTCATCATTATTGGTGGTGGCATACTATGTTTTCTGGGAGGCTTCTGTCTGGTAGTGTGTTCTCTTGCTTCAGCAGTCTGCATGTCCTTATTAGTAGTTCTGAGAGGCAAGAAAAGGTTGTGAGTTAACCCTGATTATCGAGGCTGCTTGACAGTTGTGGATGTTTGGACTTGTTTAGTCACTTTCTTCTCTGCCTGTGAGGTATTATTAGAGATATGCTTCTTGCATCTCTTTATTTCCTCGAAGTTGTCATCCTGGGCCTTTTAATTCCACTCAGGATTTTTCACTACATCACTTTGCCTTGCCTGTATGCTCAGTTTCAGGAAAGCCTTCAGTTCATTCAGTTTTACCGTGTGCATGCTATGAGGAGTGTTAAGAAGCGGCTTCCCATCTAGGCCTTTATAAAAATTTGCTCTGCTCTCCACTGCACTATTGACAGTACAGGTCGAATCAGATCTTTCCCCTACATTAGCTGGTGTGCGTGCAGTAAATTTCTCCTTGTCACCAAGTACTTTATATACTTGTTGAACTACCAAAGCTGCTTCTGGGTATGTATTCATGATGGCTTGACATTCAGATTTCAGTGATTCTAGTTAGGGCTACCAGTTAAAGTCAGAGTCAAGGGATACTTTATGACTGGTGGTTTATTGGCAGTCAGTTCATCTTGGTGCCAAGCCCCATGAGGATCACAACCAGATTTTTATTTGCCTCAACCCTTGCAGTCATAATCCTGGCAAGAGGTCTCTTATGAATATGCTTTGCCTTTGTCAAGTGTATGTATTGCACATATAGCATGTTACTGAAGATTCGTCTTTGTTCATATATACCAGTCCTCTCTCAGTCCAGGCTTTGCAAAACAGATCATGTCTCTCTTACTTATATTATGCTACAAAGGTAGCTTAGTCACTGGAATGGTCATAAGCTTGACTGCCACCAACTTTAAGCCCCTTAGATTCTGTGTGTCTGTCTCCACCTTGTCCTATGCTGTGAACATGTTAATTCTTGTGATTTTGTATGACTTCTGTTTGTTGCTTGCATGATTTTGTTATATGTGTAATCATATATATACAGAAGGTTGAAAGCCCTGTGCAAATTGCTGCCTGGTGTGAACCTTAGAAAATTTCCAGTGGTGTGGAAATGTAATTACACTGATGGAAACACAGAATTATAGCTCTGTTGTATTTAATAGAAAATAATATTTAATATAATAATTTAATCATGGATGTGTGTGTTATATGCACACAATTATCATATGGGCTCCAGTATTGATTCAGTATCATGGAGATTATCTTTTGAAGGATGAACACGGAAATTTTTGGAACATTTTATAGTTACAGTACAGTAGTAAGAAGTTATATGATATTTTAATGTGTCAAACTCACATCATTCAAGATATGTGTTGTTTCAGGCAGTTCATTCTGCAGCTGTCCGAGACAGTTTGTGCTGTACACTAAGGGTGTGTGAGGTGATTCTTAATCTTGTGGAGTTACTAATGGATATGGGCATACTGAAACAATGTCTCCGTCACGAGGTTTCTTCTTCTGGAGGAATAAACCGTAATGTTTGTGTTTTGGTGTCTGGTCATGGACACAGTAATCATATTTCTCATCATGGTAGTTGTAAAGAATCCAAGGAGGCAGAATATGTTTCCCCTCCCACTGAGAAGGAGCCGAGCAAGCTTTCTGGTGGAAGTCAGAAGGGGACTGCACGACTTCAGACTCCTCACAGTCTTATTATGAGCTGTGTAATCAGGTTTGTATCTTCAATATAATGTGTGATCTGATATACACATTGAAATGTACAGGGAATTGAGAAGGGCTTCCGCTAAAATATGCTAAAGAATTTAGTCCCATATAGAGTTATTTTTACTTTTCACAAGGTTCTCTTCTTTTAGTTCTGCATAATTATATTACTTGTGAAGAATTAATTGAAAATTGTGCTGGACTTTTGAAATATTACTACATAGAGTAGTTTCGCACAATAAATCACTTTAACACTAAGTATACATATAGCTTAATTTTGGTTGTGCCTAACTTATTAAAAGGATTTGTGATGAACCATTTGTATGAGTATAAAATTTGTAAATGTGAGTGATTGTTATTTTAAATAAACAAATCACCAAACAGACAATCTGTAGCTATAAGATTGTTATTTTAAAGTTTGTATTTTCAAATTTTACTTTACTCTTAACATTTTTTCGATTACTTAACCACTTTATATTATATGGTGATATGGTTTTATAGTTAACTGAAACAAATGGTTTTGTAAGCCAGACCAGTGACTTAAGAAACGACAAATATAAAGCAGAGTAAAAGTAAATAAAATTGTTACTGGAAACATATGATTTTTTATATTTCCTTTGTTTAGAAAAATAAAAAGAGTGTTTTTAATTTTACACAGTTCTTAACAAATATATTTTATGTCAAAGTTGAAAGTCATAAGTATGACGGTAATTAAAAATATATTCCCATGTTCACACAGATTTGTGATAAAAAGTTATTTTACTTTGTGTAAAATTATTTTCTGCACTATTGTATGTCTTATAAGTCTAGACATTTGAACATTAAAAACAATGCATTTTATAAGGCTATATGATACACAGTATAGAGTACGAAGGGGGACCCAAAAATAACCGGAAACGACCTGTTGCACGCGCATGCTTTGTAGTTACGAGTTGTGCTGCTAGGTTGTGTTATCTGGGGGTCTCCCGCGACTGTTAGTGAGCTGGCGTCAGTCTGAGTTAAGTGGTTTGTCTGTGGTGCTCTGTTGTGTGCGTTCCTGTTTCAACCCTTTGGCGATTAGTGAGATGGCCGACCAGAAGGAACAAAGAGTGTGCGTGAAATTTTGCTTTTTGTTAGGGAAAACTGCACTTCACTCTTCAAGTCGCGGCAAACATTCACGCGGTTTTCTCTTTGGTCATCTCCGAGCAAGCGAGGAACAAATTTTGCAGACACCCGTCTCATGTGCAAACCTTCGGTTAAAATTCGCTGGACCGTGCTCAATGAGATGTTTGTTTCCTCAGAAAGTTGGTCAATGGTCTTTCGACGATCTTCATCAATTTCACACACACTCTTTGTTCCTTCTGGTCGGCCATCTCACTAATCACCAAAGGGTTGAAACAGGAACGCACGCAACAGAGCACCACAGACAAACCACTTAACTCAGACTGACGCTAGCTCACTAACAGTCGCGGGAGACCCCCAGCTAACACCACCTAGCAGCACAACTCGTAACTACAAAGCATGCGCGTGCAACAGGTCGTTTCCGGTTATTTTTGGGTACCCCCTTGTACACTTGCTATTACTGTGTTTATGGAGTTTTTCTATCATTTAGTATTTACAGAACACAGTATTTCAGAAACTGGATCTTTTCCTGGTATGAGTGGGTGCCTCCCCAACTTTTCACCTGAGGATGGAAAAATTTCCAGTTTTGAAAGCATTGTTTCATGTTCAGAATACTAAGTGGTGGATGAAGTCTAGGAACCCAGTAATATTAAATGCAATATATCAGCATCACGGCCCTTTAGAATTGTTGCTGTGTTATAGAACTTTCATATTATTGTGACATGTCTAACCGGTGCTGGGCAACGGGAGGTGGAACAAGTTACCATGAAGAGAGACCTTTGATAAATGGTTGGTTGCCAAGTTACGAATCAGTGGAAATGAGGCTATGCAAAAGTAAGAAAAGAGGTGTTTGTCCGTGCTGAGCCAAGCCGAGCCGAAGTGCGCTCTTTGCTATGCAGCATTGCCCAGCAACGCCTTTATAAACATGGCATCGCCCAACAGGGGAGCCTGTGCAGTGACTGTTGCTAGGCAATTGGTAAACATGACGTTACACAACAGTGGTAGCTATCACGTAACTGTTTTCTGTGTTGTCAGTGTGGAAGCTACGTAACAGGAGTATTTGTCAGTGAGACGGAGTAACCAGCCACTTGCAGTCTAGCATTTGCTGGAGTGATTGGAAGCAGGAGAAGTAATTGTGATACTGCTGATGGCAGTAGTTGTGGAACTGTAAACTGTGTAAATGTAAGAGTGAATGTGCAATAAATTCGCTAGATCCAGATCAGCGTGAAGTTATTTGTTGTGTGACCTACCCAACACATGACATTATTAGCAGTACTATCATAATTGCCACATAGCAGCTGTATATTGCCAGAGAAAGTAATGCAAGAGCTAGTAATATTTGATTGTCAATGTAATATGAAATTTTACTATTTCATGCCATAGTTTCAGAATATAACATAAAATCATATCATTTGAAATTTTGACAATAATTGCATTACATAATGAATTAATAATTGTGAGCATATTTTTTGTTATTTTTTATCAGGGTTTTCAAACATTTGGGTTGTCCACATGGATGTGCTGATGGTCAGCGAGGTCCACCTGCAGAATTCCTGCGTTCCCAGGGGCAGAATATCCTTTCTAAATTGCACCGTGCAAGTCCGAGGCAATTTTCACGCTTTTTTCATGAGATGATGTGCAATCAGACCATATCTGATATTCTTGACTTCTTCCATGCATATGTTGGATTCTGTGTGGATCCAAGTTCCTTGCTGTCACCATTAAGTAAGAATGATTTGCCTATGCAGTTTTAAAAATCTTTCATCTTGTGTGTTTATAGTGAAATCCCCATTCAAGGTTTGGCTTGCAGACAGGATTTCAGAAACTTGAATCAAGAAATATCTTAATGGGTCTTACATAGAAATCAAATGTAAAACTAGTTAATCAAACACATTTGCTTTAATCTAACCAAAAATTGGCAAGTGTATGTTACATAAGTTTAAACATATCAGACAACATTGTTCGATATGCCTGATAGCATAGCAGTTGCTATTTAAACCCAGTTTCCTACTTTTTATGACTGTATTCTAATTTTGACAGTAGAGCTATAATGCATGTGCAGGATTTACATAATTAAATGCAACTTGCACACAAATTTTTAACTCAGAGAAATCTTCATACAAAATACACTGATGTGAGGCTAAAATGACCTGTGCAGCTACCCTGATTTTATAAAGATATGTAACATTATATGTTACTTTTGCCTACATCTCCCACATATTGTGTGCAGAAGGTCCAAAGTCTCTTTGAGCAAATAACAGTGATGCATGAATGAATACTCTATTCATGTGAATGGAAGATGGTTGTGTATTAAAATGACCCCACCAAAAAATATTTCTGCACATAAAATGTGATTTAATGTGTCAGTTTGGAACAGTGAAAGGCACTAGAGTGTTATATCAGCAACTTATTTTTCAAAGTTCTTGTTTTCCCATTCTGATTTTCATAACCTGTAATTCTCTTTGATGGGAATCACAGCATCTGGTTCAAAGCTCTGGCTTTTCTTTGAGCATGTGGCTCCTAATCTTGGAATATATTTGTCCCACTTTCTCTCACACCTGCTTAGCTAACAGCATGATATGACATATGTTAACATTTACTACATCTTAGAGATATCAACCAACTAAACGCTTAAAGTGTTTTAAAATAGTTGTTATATTGTTTGCATTCAGATTGAAGGGAGTCCTATATTACTTAAGTCTTAAAATAGAGGGAAGCTAGCTTCCATTCAGGCAGATATGGTTTATTTAGGGCCTGGATTTTTGTTCAGTAAATTTGGGCAAAACTGTAAGATGAGAAACACCAAATTGTTATTGGTTGTTTGTAGCATAGTCAGTATAGAGACTAGCTACAGATTGGAAAACCGAGGAGTCTGAGTTTGAGTCCCATTGGGGCCAAGAATTTTCTCTTCACATCCAGACTGGCTCTGAGGTCCACCCAACCTCCTATCCAATGGATACTGGGGACTCTTTCCCTTGGGGTAAAGCAGCCGTGGCGTGAAGCTGACCACTCACCTGCAGCTAGTGCTGAGTCAAGAAAATGTGGATCTATACATCCACTCCTTCAATATGACTTCTTGGCATAGTGTTTAATTAGTAAAGTGCAGGGACAACTTTACTTTATATGGGGCTTTGGGTGGGACCATAAAAATTAACACAAAATTTGGAAATGGTTATATCAAGAATTCTCAAATTGGGATTTTGCTGTACTAATTTTGTGAATTATTCAATCCAATAATTTCAGATTTGAAAGGCGTTTTTTAAAGATATGAATGTGATCCAAGAATTTGAGATGACTGATTGTAGATGGTTCTTATGAGGAAGTCTCTTAAATATCTTTCCTAAGACTGCTGTCTTCTGAGATGTGTAGCTGTGTAGTCTGGTAGTTAGGCACCAACACTTCGGAGGTACCTGCTGTCTATATCCTCAGGGTAGAGGAATAAAGTATTGGTGCTTGTCTACCAGACTTCATGGTGTAGTCTTATTAATATTCAGAACTGTAAGACCCTTAGATCTCAAATATCTTTCTTTTCCTTCTCTTTATATATTTTTCTATTCTATTATTCTATAGAACTCCAGTTGTATTTTATCTTCTTTGGAAATGACATACAACTGTATACTTTAAAAGATAAACACTCCTTACAGAATACAAGTATTATGTGTGCGTTCACATTATTTCCATGGTATGAATTCACTTGCACTAAGTGGCAATGAAGAATCTCTCAAATTTTCAGCACTAAAAATTTTCTCATTATCTTTTTATGGCTTCATTTTCACAGATCAGAAGCGTAGCTGCAGCAAATCACCTGATGTTGTATCTCAGGGAGGCTATGCAACCAATTTTGGAGCTGGCCTTGGTGGTGGGGGCACTCGTGGTATTGAGGGTCAAATAATGGCTAGTGTTTTCAAAGCTTTGGTTACCCGACTGGTGAAATCTAGTAAGGAGCTTAAAGCACAGGAAAACATGGTAAGATAAATCATTTATTGCTGCATGTCTTCCAAATATTATATTTCATAATTTTGCTGTGCAGTTTGTAGAGAGTAACTATACAAGGTGTGGCAATAAAGAAACCGGATTACTTTTATGACTCATTTCCGGCCACGTCATTGACGAAGAGGAGGGTAGGGCATTGACCCTTGGACTTCCCTCTACCGTCACACAAAGTTTCATTCACGTGCATCGGTTAGTCTGGCCGCGACCATTGTTAGAAGCGGATCGTGTTTCTGAGCTCCGTCGGAATAATGCTGAGTGCTAATGCAGAACAACGTGCTAACATCAAATTCCTCACAAAACTTGGAAAATCT